ATATATATTCACTTATACATAAAATTTATGTTTATTATACATTCCTACTTGGATGCATGTACACGTATAGAAATTTGTAAATATGAATATATGATACACAAATGCAAACATGTACAATGCCATCATGTTGATTTGACTATCTCCGAGCCCAAATCAAGTGTCATTCTAGGCCTGCCCGTCCTTTTTATGTGCATTTGCTGTCTAGCCCACGGATTATTTGAAGTCAGCCGAAGAATTCTTAGGATTGCCAAAAAATTTAAGTTCGGCAGCATTACATCAAATATTTTGGGGGAAGTGTATGAAACATTTGGAAAAAAACAAAGTGGTACCTGAATGCACATATGGAGTTCGGACAAATTTTCACCCGAAGTCGAGCAAGAACCTAAGAGGATTGAAAGGGATCATCCTTGAACAAGAAAATTACATCGTAATTTGAATTTCGATGAAACAATACATCAATGAGAAGTTATTTTAATAAGTTTATAATTTTTTTTTGTTTTTTTATTTTCTACATTATAGAATAGAGGTAAGGGGTAGGGGGCAAAACCCATTAAAAAAAAAAAGGATTAGAATCAATATATTGATTTTTTTTTTCACAATTATTTTGAACCATATGCATGCAAAAAATTGATTTTTTTTCACAATTATTTTGAACCGTATGCATGCAAAGGTGCACGTTCGATTCCTCGGAGATACAATTTTGTCATAATCAACCGACTTTATCGAGAAAGGTTAAATTTTTTTAGGCCAAGAGGGAGATCTCGAATCAAATTGTTGGTCTCATGATATATCTCAATATAGAAGATGATAGTAGGGATCTTTATTTGTATATCAATTCTTGAGGTGGATCAGTTATACCGAGAATTGTTATTTATGATACTATGCAATTTGTGTTACCAGATGTACATATAATATGTATGGAATTAGTCACTTCAAGGAGAATTTTCATAAGAAGAAATTGCCAAACGCCTAGCATTCCCTCATGATTGGCGTCAATGAGTTTTTTTTTTTATATGAGAAATAAAAAAAAATATTATCCATTTGCTATATAGAATATGAATCAAATAAAGAATAAGTAATAATAGGATGACACTTCAAGTTTGATATTAACAAATCATTATTTTTTTTTCTAACATGAGGTTTTGTACTGAAATAGTTGTATAAAAGAAGGGTTATTCCCAATTTAATTTGCTATGTAAACCAAGAGTCAATTTCAGCTTCACAAAACATTATTCTTCCTGAAGAGAAGTCACTTTCCTTATTTTCATGTTATGCGAGGAAAGTGTTATCGCTGGAGACCTTTCACGTTAACGCCTCCCGCTCTCTAGATCGCGAACGACGCGCCCGCTCCCGCTCCTGTTTGCGAAGGGTCACGTCTCCTCCTGTGCCGCGAGAACTGCTCACGCTTCTATTTTAGTAAAGGATCGCGTCTCCCGCCCGACTCGAACTGTTCCCGCCTTTTCTATTTTGCGAAGCGAAGCATCCCTTCGCTCCATTCTTTTCGTGATAAAAGAGCGGCCCTCATTCTGATTTTTTAGTTATGTGAAGTAATGGTGTTCTTCGGCTTTCCTCGGGATAGAGGAAGGCTTCCACGGGGCCGTGGAAGAGAAGAAGTGCAAGAGGTAGTTCCTTGCGGCTGAAGGAATAAAAAAGAAGAAGAAGATTGTTCTCTCTAGGCTTCTTCGTGGTGACTTGTGACAGAAGAGAAATTGAGTTTATTTCTCTTGTACGTATTTATTCTTCAGTGTATCTCGGTGTAGAGAGAGAAGAATAGAGAGAGCAACGAAGTAGAAGTGAGAGATTCCTCTTGTAAGTCGAGGTGAACGACTGATGTAAATTCTTCAATTAGTAAAATTCTCTGCAACTCCGTGGACGTAGGCAATTTACCGAACCACGTAAATCTGTGTGTTCTTTTCTGGTGTGATTTTTCTCGTTCTATTTTTTAGCTTCGTCGATCGTTCTCCTATTTGATTTTATTTTATATACCATCACAAGTGATATAGATTGCTAAACAGCAAAACCATCATAGGCACAAGCAATTTTATTTTTGTTATAATTAATAAATAAATCATTTCGCAACAGGTACTTCATGAATTATTGGTGGGGACTCATGCAACCAAAGTTAACTTGTAAGGGTCCTCCTCTCAGCAGTCACGATTCGCCACCCCCTCATCCATCCAATGAAATACATAAATTTTACAAAAATCAGGGGCCTTTCCGTGATACAATTTAAATAAATAATTATATATATTTTTTAATTATTTGTCCCGAAGGACAGACCCTAATTGGAGGTTAAAAATGTTAGCAGGTATGACACCCTGTTCACAGTTTAATTTATTTAAAATGTTACTATTTATAGTAATTTGAATCCCACCCCACCCTAAATATTTCCTTTTATTATCCTATGCTGTGGTATCTGAAGGTTTTGAATATATAAATCATGGCAGAGATGAGGGAGTGATGAGTTCCTCGCTGTCATAAATATTATTGCTTATTTATTTATTTCCCCATTTCTCGATTTAAACAAAGGCCCGCTTTTTTATATAAATGCCCCTCTCGCTTCTTTAATGCCTCTATCTAGAGCCGACTGGAGAGGAGTGTGATGGAGTGTTGCGGCTGCAACAGAAAAGGGCAGATTTGAAGAGGAGATTGAAGAAGAAGAAGAAGTAGAGTGAGTGAGTCTTTGTTTATATTTTTTGCTTTTTCAAAAAAATGTTTTTTCTTTGTTTATTTCTTTAATCGGTGTACGGAAGTTGTTGTAAGCGCAGCGAGAACTGATTCTTTGTCCATTTTTTTGAAAAAAAAAAAATTGATTTTTGTTTAGGTTTTCTTGTTTAAAAACCTCATCTTTGATGTGGGTGTTGGTTTGTTGGGTTAGGTTTCTGTTGGTGCTTGAAGAGCTTTGTTTTCTTTTATTTTATGTTTTTACAGGCAAATGAGATTTTTTTTAGCATTTTAGTTTTAAATGAAATGATTTTTTCTTTCTAGTTTTGGTACTTATTCAGTTATCTATATCTTTTTTATTTTTTTTTCTTTTTGTTTTGCATGATAAATCTTCTGTAATTTTGTTCAAACTTTTCTAAGCATCTTTGTCTTTCACAAAAGGCATTTTCAGAGTGAGTAATCAGTGGCAATGGAGATAGAAAACTACACACATCGAGTTCTGCAAAGAATTCATAAAATAGAACCAGAAACTGCAACAAAAATTGTCGGCTATCTTTTATTGCAGCGCAGTAGTGAAGAAATAATGGAATACGCCATGGGAGATGAAGAACAGATACATTCCCTTATTGCTGAGGCAAAGTCTTATCTCATCTCATCACTCAAACTCAACTCCTCTGAACATCGGCATCCATTTATCTCCCATTACCTTACTGTTCACCGACCATGCCCATCTCCTTCAAGCTTTGGCGTGCCAGCCCCTCTTCATCTACCATCAAATCACCAACCCTTTATTCAGAAAATGGACCATTTTTCTCATAACAATGAAGTTTGGGGGATGGAAGACCAGTTGCAGCCCTCCAGCCCAATAAGTTTTGATCTACAAGGCAATTTCTATCATTCCGATGCTGGTTTCGGCGCAAGAAACCGGCCACAGTTGAGCTGCCATTACTTCTACCAAGGTTACTGTAAACATGGACAAAGCTGCAAGTTTTCCCATGGTGCCAATCCAGATATGTTCAATCAAATGTCTGGATTTGGCTTGAATGAGTTAACCATAGAAGACAATATCTTCTCTCCGGGCTGTCTTGAGAAGCTTGAGATGGAGATTGCCGGAATATTGAAAGAGAGGAGGGGTTTACCGGTTACTATAGCCTCATTGCCTTTGTTGTATCAAGAGATGTATGGGAAAGCTCTTCAGGCTGAGGGTTATCTCACTGAAAGCCAAAGGCATGGAAAAGCTGGTTTTAGCTTGACAAAGTTGCTTGCACAATTGAGGAACATTAGGCTTATGGATAGGTATGTTTGTGTTTGGATAGTTGGTTTGATTTGTATGAGTTGTTGTTTCGGAATTCATCGTTCAATATTCGTGTTTTTAGGCCTCATGGGCAGCATTTTGTGGTACTGGCTGAGGATGCTCCGAAATACATGGAATTTATTAGTGAAAGAAATGACCATGGAGCTTCTAGTTCTCATCAGATTTATCTAACTTTCCCTGCTGAAAGTAGTTTTACTGATGCTGATGTTCAGAATTATTTCAAGTAATGATTTCTTTTGATTTGTTTCTTCAATCATGGGTTCTTTTGCTTCTGTGGAAATAGGAATATTTGCATACATAGCCCACAATTGTTTTGTATTTACATATCTGAAACCTTAACTTTCATATTACCACAGCACTCAAATTTTATATATTACTTCAATAATGGCACTATTACCCCCTTTTAAAAATTGAAATACACATTTTCATGCATCGGGTTAAAGCGCCAAAGCGATTACATATCTGAAACCTTAACTTTCATATTACCACAACACTCAAATTTTATATATTACTTCAATTATGGCACTATTACCCCCTTTTAAAAATTGAAATGCACATTTTCATGCATCGGGTTAAAGCGCCAAAGCGATTACATATCTGAAACCTTAACTTTCATATTACCACAACACTCAAATTTTATATATTACTTCAATTATGGCACTATTACCCCCTTTTAAAAATTGAAATGCACATTTTCATGCATCGGGTTAAAGCGCCAAAGCGAT